TGGGTTAGCCTGGTGATGGGTATTAAAGAGGGCACATATTGAATGGAGCACTTGGTGTTATACACAAACAATGAATCATGGAACACTACATCAAAAACTAATGATGTATGGTGATTAACATAATAAAATTTTTTTTAAAAAGCCCATGTTTGTATTGGGGTTCAGATCTGTTTTCTTTTTTTTTTCCTCTTTTAGTTGGGCATGTTAGAAGAAGATTTGTTAGCCTTAAAATCTCCCTCAAAAGAAAATATTGCAGATGTCTTAGATGCTTACCATGCAAAGGTAATCTTGTCAGTATTCTCACTTCAGATTTTAATTCATGGGGAAGGGGAAATGATTGAAAAATTAGCAGTTGGTGGATGTTATAGTTTGTGGATATAAAGATGCTGGGATTTATTAACTTGAAAGCTTGATGGAAAGTCAGAGCTTCAGAATTGTTAGGATAGCCATCTAAGAAGATGACTTCTTTGCCGCACAAGAACACAGCTTATCTTCTCATTGCTGGTGAATTTCAGCATGTAGTTTTGTGATTGGCCCTTGCAACAGCTTTTTGCAATGCACCATGACATTTCTGTAATGGATGGTTCAATGTTGACACTGTTGAGCTGCTAAAGTGAAACTCTGATGCATATCTAAGTATAATGATAAAGTATACTGCATAATGATAAATTATATATCATATATAAGATAAAGTATATATTGTTCACTTTTAATTCCTGACTTGTGTAACTTAAATTTTCTTTTAAGAGCCAAAAATCTATAAAAATGTTACATGACGGGACGCCTGGGTGGCTCAGTTGGTTAAGCAGCTGCCTTTAGCTCAGGTCATGATCCCAGGATCCTGGGATCAAGTGCCGCATCAGGCTGCCCGCTTAGCAGGGAGCCTGTTTCTCTCTCTGCCTGCCATTCCTCCTGCTTGTGCTTGCTCTCTCTCTCTCTGACAAATAAAAAAATAAAATCTTAAAAAAAAAAAGTTATATGACTTCTGGTAAAACATGATGGGTTCAATATATGCTCCCTTCTAAAACCCCACTAAAACTGTAATAAAGGAATAAAAAAGGCACAAATCCACAAATAGAACAGAAGAGGAGACAACGGCAGGTATGAGATGTCAATATTTTGGAAGCTTGAGAACAGAAGGACGAGGGCAGCTACTTTAGATTTGAGAACGCTGAAATATCTTATCCTTTAGTAGGGGAAGCCAGGAAGAAGCAAACCAGTTTTTGCTCTGTACCCTCTGTAAGGTACCAGAGTCCCCTGAAGACTGGGATGTGGAGGTGGGCAGAAAAACAAAAGATCCCTGCAAATTTTTATAAGGTGCAGTTAGGCCTCCAGAAGTCTCTCTCCTGTACCACCAGCCATCCTTTCATAGTTTGGCTGAGAGTAGAAATTTACTACTTAGGTCAAATCAGACAGACCTAGCTGATCATGGGGGAAGGCCAAGTGAAGTGCTCTACTAAAAAGAGTCAGAACATACTAAATAGGAAGACCTCTAGCCTCTTTTCCTAGTTAGCTTCCAGGCTATTAAATATCCTCTATCTTAGTTTGGGCAACTGTAACAAAAATACCACATGGCTTAAACAATAGAAACTTCTTCCTCACAGTTCTAGAGGCTGGGAACTCCAAGATCAGGTGTCAGAAAATTAGATTCTTGGTGAGGACCTGTTCCTGGTTTGCAGATGGACAGACGCCTTCTTTCTATATCCTCACACAGCAAAGTGAGCTCTCTCAGGTCTCTTCATACAAGGGCACTAATCCCATCATAAGGGCTCCACCCTCTTGACCTAATTCCCTCTCAAAGGCCCCACCTCCAAGTACCATCACTTTGGGGATTAGAGTTTCAACATGAATTTTGGGGTGACGCTAACATTCAGTCAATAGCACCATCCCACTCCTAAGCAGTACCTTCGAAGAAAAAGGAAAAAGCCTGTATTTGAGGACATCCCCCCTGCAACAATGAAACATCCAGGTCTTTGCTTAATCTTTGCTTAATTTATAACTCATCAGACAATTGACAGTCCTATAACTGTGATCGACTTTACACATAAAGCTACTTAATTTTAGTACTTCATGCTAAAATTTTTTTATGCCAAGTATAAAAACAAATTGGTCAGAACAAAAAAAGCACTTGAAGCAAGCTGTGCAGGGAAAGGAAACTTGAAAAAAAGAAAAACTATAATTGTTAAAACTGTAATTGTTCAGGTCAGAGGAAAATATTTCATCTGTGAAATAACAGATGTAATATAGTAGTCAAAGAGTAAAAAAGAATGTGATAACAAAAGGGAAAAAACCCGCAACAAATTAGATTAAAATTGAAGGTTGAGGAAAACTATAAGAGGACAAAAAGGATAGTAAGATGGAAAATGGAGAGAAAGGAACATTAGAGGTCTATATCTAATTATTAGGAATTCATAACAGAAGAGAAAGGGGAGGAGATATTTAGAAAAATAGTATAAAAATTTATTCAGAACTGAAGAATATGAATATGGATTGACAGAGCCTCTGAATGAATGCAGAGCAATGAATATGAACACAGAGCACATGAGGATTTCATCAGATTTTGTCAAAGCATTTGACAGTCTCTCATGTTGGGTAAATATAGCATGGATTAGAGTGGGTGGGAGTTACCAGAGAGTAAGGGCCTTACCAGAGAGTTCTGCTAAACGTGTGGGTATTAGTCTATAGATAAAGTCATCTTGGCCTTTTTCAGCTTTTTTTCTCAGTGATTTGGGTGAGAATGTTGACAGCATTTTGATCAAATTGATTTGAAACTAAGAAAAAAAATTAGGTAAAAGAATATGGATTAAAAAACCCCTTCAAGTTTATAGAGAGTGATCTGTTTAATAAGATCAGTGTGAAAGGTAATAAATGTATGGGAAAAACACTCCCTGTGTTTTCTCATACTACCACATTCACAACACTTCTGACACCAGATGTGTGGGTTTTCTACACATCAAGCAATTCAATGCAGCCCACCTGGGTGTCCTATAATTCATTTCGGTAGTGACACTATCTACCTGGATAGATATCTGCATCAGATCCCACAACCTAAGAGCTCAGTCCCACAAGACTGACCCCACTTCAGATGCCAGTCACAAGTCCTAGCTTGTCACCCGTACTTCTGATTGACCATAAATTGGGGTTCTCGTGACCCCTTCCTTGGGTTCGATAATTTGCTAGAATTTCTCACAGAACTCGGAAATACTTAATGTTTGTTGGTTTATTCCAAAGGATACAATAAAGGATATGAATGAATAGTCCAGTAAAAGGTACACAGGGCAAGGTCTGGAAGGGTCTCAAGCCCAGGAGCTTCTGTCCCAATGAAGTTGGAATGTACTACTCTCCCTGCTTGTGGATGTGTTCATTAACCTGGAGCTCTCCAAACTCCATCCTTTTGGCTTTTTATGGAGGCTTTATTACATAGTCACTATTGGTTAAGTTATTAGCTATTGGCGATTGAACTTAATCTCCAACCCCTTTTTCCTTACTGGAGGTAGAGGGAGGGAGGCGGGAGGTAGTGGCAGTGTTGGGGCGGGGCTTGATTAGAAGGTGGGACTGAAAGTTCTAATTTTCTAATCACTGGTTGGTTCCCCTGGAGACCAGCCCCATTCTTAGGAGCTTTCCAAGAGTCACCTCTGTTAACATAACCGTGATGGGAAGGGGCTTGTTATGAATAACAAAAGGCCCATTTCACCTTAATTTTGGGACAAAAGACCAAATACAACATACAGCAAAAGATGCTCTTCTTAAAGAAATTTCAAGGTTTGGGGGAGCTGTGAGCCAGGAACAAAGAACAAATATATGGGCAAAGACCAAATATGTATTTATTATTTTATTTTATTTTTAAGTAATCTCTATTCCCAGTGTGGGGCTCAAACCTACACCCCCAAGATCAAGAGTTGCATACTCTACCAACTGAGCAGCCAGGTTTCCCTGTATTTCTTATTTTTTATTTTTTTTAGTTTTTAATTTTTTTTTAAAGATTTTATTTATTTTTTAGAGAG